TACCAGCTTAAAAAAACAAAAAGGTCGTATAAATGGAAATAGAAACTAAGGAGATGTAGCAAGTGATTACTCAGGGTAATACACTAATACTGATGATTAGTCCTTAAATGCCCAGAGTTCACTTTAGTTATCTGATATATCTGTTTTTTTAGTCATTCAAACTAAGGTTTTCTGGTTGCTGAAATGTAAGCACATGGTCAGTCTGTCAGATATTAAAAAAGCACACAGAAATGTGATATTTGGAAATGCCAAATACGATTCTTTTTTTTATTGTTGCATCATCAGTTGTCACTTAGTGGTGAAAGCAAAGTATGGCACAAAAAATTGATAGATTGATTAGGAGGCCATTGGCAAGGTTACATATATAGGCAAGGAGGATCTCGGGCTGGTTTATAGAATCATGACCACCGTGGGATCTCCTTGCCTAATAGATATCAATCAATTTATAATTAACCATAATGGGCCGATGGCCCAGGTGCCCTATGCGGCTGTCTTACAAGTGGGATTGCTGTAAATTGTCCGTGTCCTTTGATTCCTATAATGTCATCTCGAGAAAACAGGTCCACATAACTTGAAATGTTGTTAAATTTAGGTTCAACTGATGTGCATGCAAGGAAAAACTGGAACAGTGACCCTGACTATAGAAAGCTGAGGACAGCTCTCTGCGTAGGATATGGTAACCAGCTAGCTGAGAGGATGCTGCATCACAATGGCTACCATACTGTTGGCTATATGACCCAACTTGTACAGGTATGTAATCGTGTAATTTCTTTGTCAGATTTAGCTTATTGTAATGTTGAGCTGCCTGAAAATTAAGGGAGACGAACAATCCTGAACCATTATTGTACTTGTAACTTTATTTGGGTGAGGGTGTGGTGGGTGGCGTTTGTGTTTTGTACTCTCCTTTATCTCAATGCAATGATACACAACACTCCCGCATATTCGAGAAATTATTATACTTATAAGATCAGCACCACTCAAGGTGAAAATTTGCATGCTTTTTTGTCCCTTGTTTCTACCGGACATAGGAGCCAAAGAAACTACTGGTAGCTACTTAAATTGTTTGGTGCGTTGGTGCTGAACCGGGTTGGATGACATGTAGACGGCGTTGTTGTCGCAATACACCAAGATAGCCTTGCTGGGTGGGGAGTGGAGCTCACATAGAAGTTGCCGCAGCCAGGAAGCCTCAGCCACTGCATTGGCCACACCACGATATATACTCGGCTTCGGCGCTAGACCTGGAGAGACGAGGCTATCGTCGAGAAACATGGCATAGCCCGAGGTGGACTTGCGTGTGTCGGGATAGCCAGCCCAGTCGGCGTTGGAGTAAACCACCTGATCAAACTGTGCTGATGGTCGAATGAGCAGCCCAAGGCGAAAAGTACCACGTATGTACCGCAGGATGCGCTTCAGGGCTGCAAGATGAGGCACCCGGGGGTCGTGCATATGAAGGCAGACCTGCTAGACAGCATAGGAGATGTCTGGATGAGTGAATGTGAGGTACTATAAAGCACAGACAGACTCTGAAAATCTGTGGCGTCACTGACAGGAGCACCATCCAGGGCGGAGACCTTCGAACAAGTGTCCACCAGGGTGGAGCAGGGCTTGCACGCAGCCATGCCCGCACGGTCAAAGATCTCCTGCATGTACTAGCACTGCGAGAGGAAGAGACCATCAGGCCATTGCTGAACCTGCATCTCGAGAAAGTGATGAAGATCACCCAAGTCCTTCATTGAGAACTCCTGCTGTAGGGCATGAATGGTGCGCTGGAGGAGTGTTGTCGACGAAGCAGTGAGGACAATGTCATCCACATAGAGCAGCAGGTAAATAATGTCAGCACCGCGGTGGAACACAAATCCACGAACCCGAGAGAGACCAAGTAGGCTGTAAAGTGGCTGTACCATGCCCAAGGTGCCTACTTGAGACCGTAGAGGGAGCGGTTCAGACGGCAGACGTAGTCCGGATGATTGGAATCCTCAAATCCGGAGGGCTCTATCTCATCAAGATTGTCGTGGAGGAAAACATTCTTCACATCAAGTTGACGAACAGGCCAGTTGCGAGAGAGAACCAGAGAGAGCACAGTCCGCACAGTGGCCGGTTTGACGACGGGGCTGAAGATTTCTGCAAAATCAACACTTGGGTGCTGTGTGAAGCCACGGAGAACCCAGCAAGCTTTATAGCGCTCCAACGAACCATCAGCCTTGAACTTGTGTTTGAAGATCCATTTCCCTACCACCACATTTGCGGCAGGGGGCGTGCAACCAGATCCCAAGTGCTCTTCTGGAGAAGGGTAGCATGCTCCTCAGCATGGCGGCTTGCTAGTTCGGGTCAGCGAGAGCGGTGTGGTATGTCTTCGGAACAAGAGACAATGGCGCAACATGGTAGACAGCAGGAAGACGGATGTCGCGTTTCGCCCTGGTAGTCATGGAATGTTGATTGACCACCGGGGGAACGACCACAGCACCCTTCGGAAGGGGCGCAGGAGCGACCAACGACGATGGTGGAGGCACCGAAGGAACTAGGCGGCGCCGGCTGTACACCTGGGTGATGGCGGGACGCGGCAAAAGCTGGACAGCCGCACGGGGCTGTGCAGGAGACATCGAAGCTGCCGCACGTGGCTATGTGGGCAGTGACGGAGACGCCGAGGCTACCGCACATGGCTGTGCGGGCGAAGTAGCTGGTGGCGTTGAGGTAGCCGTAGGAGGAGCTCTAGAGGGCGCTGGAGTTGTCAAACTCGCGCCCATTGTCACATTGGACAGACTTGATTTTGCGCCCAAACTGTGTGGAAACAAGAGCAAAGAAATTAGACAGGGTGGCAAAAGTGTTAGACTTGAGGCGTAAAGGAAACATCCACATGTAGTTTGAGCAATCGTCGAGAATGACCAAATAATATTTGAAACCCAATACACTAAGAACTAGCGAGGTCCATAAATCACAGTGTATAAGATCAAAAACATGTGAGGCACGTGATGCTGACACAGGAAAAGGAAGACGAATATGACGCCCTAGCTGACATGCATGACAGATAGATGTTCTAATTTCTTTATTACAAGCCATAAGTTTGGACAAAGTCTCAAATCTAGGATGAATGAGACAAAGGTGCCATAAGGTGGATGCGGCAGTGGAGGCGAGGTGGGCTGCAGGAGGCGATAGCGCACCAGATGGGCGAAGAGGGTACAACGGACCAGAGCTATTGCACCTAGTGATCACCCTCTGGGACTGCAGATCCTTCACAGAACAACTAGCGGGGTCAAATTCAACAAAACAATTGTTGTCGGTAGTAAACTGGCGAACAGAAATAAGATTCTTAATAAGACCAGGGGAAACAAGGACATTATTAGGACTCATGGAACCGGGAAGGTGAACGGTGCCAGTGGAGGTGACCAGAAGTAAAGAACCGTTACCGACAACAATGGAAGGTGGAATACGATAATGCGTGGAGGTAGTGTCGGAGGGAGTACCGGCATCGGAGGTCACGTGCGAGGTGGCGCCGGTGTCGAAGATCCAATCATGTTGCTGAGGCGGAGTCAGCGACATGGTGTTGAATGAAGACGCCAACCCCTGCGGGTCCCATGAAGACATGCGGGCCAGGGGGTGGTAGTAGACGGGAGGAGGAGCAGTCCATTGTCCTTGGGCGCCGGCCACAAAGGCCTATGGCTGAGCCAGGAAGGAGGATGTGGAGCCGGGAGAGGGGCCAAGGGAGGCCGATTCCCTGGTCACATGTTGATGGAGCCGGACCAGGGCTGTAGAAACTAGGCCAGGAGCCACCGTGGAAACCCGGCGCCTCCTGCTGGTGCTGGTGCTGTGCGGTATTGGTTGAAGGAGGGGTAGCGCCGCCAGGCTACCGCCCCTTGCCTTTGCCGGCGCATGAGCCACGCTTGTCGCCTTTGCCCGAGTTACAGGAGTTGCTGGGGGCACCAGGAGCAGCGCTGGAGGACTGCTGCGGTGTTGGCGGCTTGTTGGGGGGTTGGTGTGGAGGTCCAGCAGTACCGCCGGTGCCGAATGCGACGAACGCGGTGGGCGGGGGCGCCGAGCGATGCGCCAGACTGAGTTCTTCAAGGAGCAGGTCGTTCCGAACTCCAGGAAGGTGGGGAACGGGCGTCCACGTCGAAGATGCATGCCGATGGAGGCGAAGCACTCGTTAAGGCCACGGATGATGTTGAGGACAAGCGTGCGATCGGTGACAACCTCGCCCAAGTCACCCAGGGCATCAGCCACGGACTTGAACTTGCGGCAGTAGTCGGTGATGGAGAGATTGCCCTGCACAAAGTTCCTAAAGGCGGCGGCGAAATAGAGGGCACGCTGTTCGCAATTGCCAAGGAATTGATGTTCCAGAGCAAGCCAGATGGAGCACGCGGTGGTAGGATCCTCCCGAACGATCTCCTCAAGGTTGGGGGAGACAGTGCCGAGGAGCCACGTCATGACGACGCAGTCCATCTGCGCCCTGTCAGGGAAGGTATGGTTGGCTACATCGGCGAGAACATGGCGCTGGAGCGAAAACTTGCTGAGGACCAGAAGCATCTGGTGGTGCCAGCGATTGTAGTATTAGACTCCATGTCGAGGACGGCGGAGACGAGGGAGCGAATGTTCTGGACGCTGATGGCCTGGGCATGCAGATTGATGATGGCTGCGGCCTCATGGGCTAGCAGGACATCCTGGAGCGGTTGGCGAGGGCCGCTGCCCGGCGTCGGAAGCAGTGTCCTTGGCAGCGGCCTCGGCTGCTTCCCGTTCGCGAGCAGCACGGGAGAGCACGTCGCGGGCGCGTGCGGTGGCGGAGTCGCGTTCCTGAGCCGCTGCTGCGGCTTCCTATTCGGTGGCCTGAGTGCACGTTAGCGGCGGCGGCGGCGTCAGCTTGTTGGTGCTCCAGGGCAGCAGCGTGTGCGCGCTTGGCCTCGTCGGCACGAGCGCTCCTCTCGAGCGCAGCACGGTCACGCTCGGCCTCAGCCGCACGAGCGTGCTCGGCCTCCAGAGCACGGGCGCGGGTCACATCATCTGGAGGAATGGCGGCAGAGGAGGATTGGGTGGTCGGGATGGGAATGCCCAACATGGTTGGAGCGGGGAAAGGTTCCACGCACAGGGAAGATGCGCAGCCAGGGGCGTGTAGGGTGCGCAGCCAGGGGCGCGCGAGAGCTAAGGCAGACCTAGGCGTCTGATACTATGAAAGCAAAGTATGGCATAGAAAATTGATAGATTAATTAGGAGGTCAATGACAAGGTTACATATATAGGTCAGAGGATCCCGGGCTGGTTTATAGAATTATGACCACCGATATCAATCAATCTATAATTAACCATAATGGGCCGATGGCCCAGGTGCCCTATGTGGCTGTCTAACAAGTGGGATTGCTGTAAATTGTCCGTGTCCTTTGATTCCTATAATGTCATCTCGGGAAAACAGGTCCACATAACTTGAAATGTTGTTAAATTTAGGTTCAACTGATGTGCATGCAAGGAAAAGCCGGAAGAGTGACCCTGACTATAGAAAGCTGAGGAGAGCTCTCTGTGTAGGATATGGTAACCAGCTAGCTGAGAGGATGCTGCATCACAATGGCTACCTGTTGGCTATAGGACCCAACTTGTACAGGTATGTAATCGTGTAATTTCTTTGTCAGATTTAGCTTATTGCAATGTTGAGCTGCCCGAAAATTAAGGGAGACGAACAATCCTGAACCATTATTGTACTTGTAACTTTATTTAGGTGAGGGTGTGGTGGGTGGTGTTTGTGTTGCGTATTCGAGAAATTATTATACTTATAAGATCAGCACCACTCAAGGTGAAAATTTGCATGCTTTTTTGTCCCTTGTTTCTACTGGACATAGGAGCCAAAGAAACTGCTGATAGCTACTTAAATTGTTTCTTGGTGTGCCACATCTTGACAACAAGCTGCTTGCTAGTGTGCCCTCTTTCGGAGTAGTTTAGATGTACTAAAACGTTAGGCATATCATATCTGAGCACACCCACAGTGCCACACTTAATCATATCTGAGCAAAGCTTGTGGTATAAGTAACACAAATTAAGCTTTTAATCACATATTTAATCATCCTGTCAAACTTATTCATGACTTCTCTTCACATTATGTTGTTTGAGAATTTTGTTGAACTTCTTTGCAGGTGCATCCATCTTCTATACTGGAAGGTGATGAGTATGGGAAGTTTCCAATGTATGTTATTTATCATGAGCTGATAAGTACGAAATATCTGTGCCGTCGAGCAAGCATGGGTTGAGCCTATATTAAAGAAGCTTGAGAAATTAGATGTAAGCAGATTAAGGTAAAGTGAGAAATTTCTGAATTATAAGCATTATTTCCAAACTGTGATCCAGCAAACCTGGTGATAGCTAAAGTCAACCTTCGGTATCTCATCGCAGTGGTGGCTGGAGTGCACCGAAAGATTCTGAACTTCTAGTAGAGAATAAGCAAGTAAACTCGATGATTGCGGGTAGCGGGCGATATTGCGGATGATAAGTTCCAATAGGGGCACCTGATAATCTCACATAATTTTAAGTACATATATCATGAACAATGAGCATAAATAGACATTTAATTGCACTCAAAGAACTTATGTCTCACATACTTAAATTAAGAAAACAAACATGGTGTTCCACGCATTAAATTACCACATTAAGAGTTTGCAAAGAAACATATTATATGACTTATGAGCCATAAAATAGATCGCAAGACTTATCACTCGTTGTCATTGTCAGAAGCAACAACATCATCAGCCTCATGGTCACTTGAACCATCTCCATCTGCATAAGGGTTATTTGCTTGCACGCTATTGCGGCCTGCTACGTGCAATTGCGGCCCGAAATATCGCCCGCTATTCAGAATTGCGGCCGCAAAGTTCCAGGCTGCAAAGTTCATAGCGCTACCTCGTAACGGTAGCGGCAATGGGCCGCTACTGCTATTGTGGCCGCTACCGCCGCTATTTATTACCTTGTCTCTGCGTAGGACATTGTAACCAGCTAGCTGAGAGGATGCTGCATCACAATGGCTACCATACTGTTGGCTATAGGATCCAACTTGTACATGTTTGTAATCTTGTATTTTCTTTGTCAGATTTAGCTTATTGTAATGTTGAGCTGCCTGAAAATTAAGGGAGGCGAATAATCCTGAACCATTATTGTACTTGTAACTTTATTTGGGTGAGGGTGTGGTGGGTGATGTTTGTGTTTTGTACTCTCCTTTATTCTCAATGCAATGATACGTAGCACTCCTGCATATTGGAGAAATTATTATACTTATAAGATCAGCACCACTTAAGGTGAAAATTTGCATACTTTTTTGTCCCTTGTTTCTACTGGACATAGGAGCCATAGAAAGTGCTGATAGCTACTTAAATTGTTTCTTGGTGTGCCACATCTTGACAACAAGCTGCTTGCTAGTGTGCCGTCTTTCAGAGTAGTTTAGATATACTAAAACGTTAGGCATATCATATCTGAGCACACCCACAGTGCCACACTTAATCATATCTGAGCAAAGTTTGTGGTATAACACAAATTAAGCTTTTAATCACATATTTAATCATTGTGGCAAACTTATTCATGACTTCTCTTCACATTGTGTTGTTTGAGAATTTTGTTGAACTTCTTTTGCAGGTGCATCCATCTTCTGTACTGGAAGGTCACGAGTATGGGAAGTTTCCAATGTACGTTATTTATCGTGAGCTGATAACTACAACTCGTCCATACATGAGAAATATCTGTGCTGTGGAGCAAGGCTTGGTTGAGCCTATATTAAAGAAGCTTGAGAAATTAGATGTAAACAGATTAAGGTATATTGAGAAACTTATGAATTAAAAGCATTGGCCCCGTTCGCTTCGCTGAAAAAACAAACCGAAACACAGTTCCGGCTGATCTGTTGTGAGAGAAAACACTGTTCCGATTAAAAAAACAAGCTGAAAAGTACGGATTATAAGATAAACGAACAGGGCCATTATTTCCAAACTGTGATCCAGCAAACCTGGTGGTAGCTAAAGCCAACCTTTGTTATCTCATTGCAGTGGTGGTTCGAGTGCACCGAAAGATTCTGAACAACTTCTAGAGAATAAGCAAGTAAACTCGTCGAAGAAAGACATGGATGTAAAACAATCTGAGGTGGACAGTAAAATCCAGGCAGCTCGAGAGCGCTAACTTGCACGAAAAAGGTAAGAAATGACAAATGACACATTTTCCTGATCGCTCAACATCCTTCTGTCTGCCTGAAGCTTTTCTGAAGATCATACCGACGAATCCATTCATTCATGTTATGGTGGGTGGTGTATATACTTCAACGAAGAACATTCATCATGTTCCAATGTGCACAAACAAGAGAAAATTCCTTATTTGGACCGGAAGAAAACGTGCTTAACTATGTAACCCTGAATTTTTTGTTTGACAACTCTAAGTCTCTAACCTTTACCTTGGACCAAGCACTCTTGGCTGTCCAAGACAAAGCAGACGGAATCATATCTCCACAAGAGTATTTCTTATATGACACTGGAAGTTTACAAGCTTTTCCACTGTGGGCTAGAATTTTCCCCTCTTCCTATATGATGATGTTGAGTGTATTATTAAGGTCTCATTTGGTAGAAGAAAAGACTGTTTTGCCCCTCTTGCCTAGCATGAGTCCTAGGCAACACCGCAGTACAGACGTGTTTCGATGCGAACCCTGTCTGGAAGCTGCCCATCCAGACACAGGCAGGGGCACGAGTACCTAGGTACTGGAAAACGGTAGCCTGGCCCAGGCAAATGGATTTGCCTGCACTAATGGTCACTTAATAAAGTCAATAAGACAACAGGACGACTAGCGTCCGGACGTCCAGCCCGAGGACCGGACGTCCAGCCCGAGGACTTGTCTGGACATAGCTCGGGGCCATCCGATTCAAGGAACAAGAGACGTTCAATCACAGCACATAACAGAAGAAACGAGCGCACCTATTCCTCCCCCACGTAACGGAACAGAAGGAATGTGCGCCCTACGTGTACTCACGGCGGCGCGTCCCATGCTGTGCCGCTGTCCCATGATGCGCTGCCAGCATCGAGAAGAAGGGGAGGGGGCGGCGCCCGCCTGCGCCTCTAGTTCGGATGCCTAGCTGGCGCCGAGAGAAGGTGGAGACACCGAGGCGAGGCAGCAGAAGGGGAGGAGAGAGCGAGATGCAACACCCGATTTACTTTTGAAATATCCAGATGCAACACTTGCAACATACATATCAAGACAGACGAAACACTTGAAACATGCATCTGAAACCCTTGCAAAAACACCTCAAAACCATTGTAAAACATACGCAACATCCAGATAAAATATTTGCAACATATGTGTGGAACATATGCAACATCCAAATAAACACACTTGCAACGTACGTCTGAAAAAAACAGATGAAACATTAGGAACAAAAGCTTGTAACATCCCGATCTACTTTTGCAACATCCTTATGAATATATTTGCAACATACATATGAAACATTCTTATGAAACATTTGCACGCTTGCAACATGCGTTTTCACCCTTCTTCCGTACGATGCAGCGGAAGCGGGGGATGGGCGGGCGGAGGGCAGCGCCGTTGCAGCTCCTTCTAGAGGTGAGCAGAGGGGGCGGCGGGGAGAGGCCGCCGACGAGCTTTGGCCGGGATGCGGCTGCCACTGTCGCAGGTGGGCGGAGGGGAAGGCTGGGACAAGCCGGCGATGGCGCAGGCCGTCGGCGGGCTCTGGCCAGGCGAGGGTTGGGGGGAAGGGGCCGGACGCAGGCGCAAGCGGTTGTTGGTGAGCTCTGATTGGGTGAGGGCGGGAAAAAGGGGTCGGCGGTAGGCGCAGCGACCGGTGGCGGGTGGAGGCACCACGGGGGGTGCGTGGGATGGAGGTGTCGCGGGGAGTGGAACAAGCAGAAGGAGATTTTTCTTTTTTCTTTTTTTTTGCGGGAGCGCGTCCGTACGAAAATCACGGGATGGACGTCCTTATCATATCATTGTCGATAAGACAATGCTTGTGTAGTAAATTTGGTTTGCCTTTATTTCTTTTTTTTCATGGACAGGAGTGCTATATACAGTGTAAAAAATACATATAAATATTGGATATGGAAATATTGTCGATAAGACAATGCTTGTGCAGTAAATTTGGTTTGCCTTTATTTTTTTTCATGGACATGAGTGCTATATACAGTGTAAAAATACATATAAATATTGGATATGGAAATCAAGGTAGGGCATAGCATTGATTATTAAGTTGCATGCACCGAGATGGGCAAAATTAAATTATATTCCAACACTCCCCCTCACGCCTTAGACGTGGAATATGAGCGAGCAGCAATTATTTTACTTAATTGCGCTAACCAAGATTCAAACTCGAGACCTCTGGCTTTAATACCATATTAAGTTGTATGCACCGACTAGTTCAATCCAAAAGCTTAAGCTGATGGGAGAGGTAAGTAATTAACTTATATTCCAACATTGATCAATATTAAGGCAAAAGGGGTAACATATTTATAATTCTTCCAAAAAACATATTTATAAATATTTGATTTCCCTCACGTTCTACTTTGTCACATCTTTGGATTATACTACCATCAAATTGAGGGAAATCAAGGGTCCAACACGTACGGGCTTGAGCAGCTAATCCGTTCTGGGTCACTGTACCGCGGGTTGTTGTGCTGCCTTTGTTTGCCTTTTGTCCAGCTTCATGCTCACACGCGTAGCAATCATAGGGCCGGGGTTGCGACAGTATAGCTGTACTGTCGTAATGTATTTTTGGTGGCTGTTTGCCTGTAATGCGCGGATGGCCAATGCATGGCCTAGAGCAGCTTGCTTGGAGACTTGGAGGAGGGATCCTGCTAGTCGGCAATGTAGATTCTATTTTGGAGGTTCTGGGTGTTAGTTACGGTGTCGGGATGTCTGACCATGACTTGTTCGCTGCCTCCTGCGAGATTTGCGAGATTCGTCAAAATTGGATCTCCGACCATTATTTTCAGCTCTGAGAATGTTAGGAGGTAGATCAGGCAATGGAGACTATTTTAAAGGTTCTAAGGGTTAGCTAGGATATTGCGGATGGGCGATCACGGTGGCGAGTTATTTCGTCCATCGTTGGTAGCTTAGTATGGACTGTTTTTTTTTTCGTACCAATAGCTAAGATGTCAAAACCAGATTATTGGGACTTAATTTCTAGATAATTATTAGTGATGATCTTGAAGAAACGATACCAGTCGGTTGGAGACTTGCCACATTCTTATGCAGCTATTCAGTGAGGATCTTAATATGGTGCGGATATATATTGGAAATTTAAATTTTATATATACGATAATGATAAAAACAGTCATAAATAAAGTCACTTTTATGTAAACAATTCCTGGTAAATGGGATCTTCCATTTTCATTTTCAGGAATCAATTCAGTCAGAATTGGTTCATCTAGAAAGCTGTTAGTTGATTTATTTTTGGGCCTCAGGCTCTGACCTTGTGATCTCGACCGGTGAGAGCCCAGCGTCGGAGATCTCCGCAGCCATGGAGACGCTGGCCAGCGCCATGCGGCGCGAGAACCGCCGGTCCAAGGCCCCCTCCTCCTCCTCCGCCACCGCCCTCGCCTCGGGCAGGGTCCCTCTCGTCATGGCCTTCCTCTCCTGCCTCGCCTGGCTCTACGTCGCCGGCCGGTACGTCCCCCCCTACCCGCTCAGATCCCAGACACTCCGACCCAGCACCCGATAGGGAGTCGTGATCTTATTCCTGGCTCCGTCTCAGGTTGTGGCAGGACGCGCAGACCCGGGCGATCCTGTCCGGCCTCCTCGAGAAGAGTTCTGGCAGCGTACGAATCTCTCCTCCCCTCCTCACTCCGCCGACTGGCATTTTTAATTCTTCTCTTCATTCGGCGCCTGACGGCGGCACCTGATTGCAGGCCCCGAAGGTGCTCTCGGTGGAGGACAAGCTTAGGAACCTCGGATGCAAGTGAGTTTTCAGTTTTTTTGTAAGTGAATTTCGGTTGTTGTGTTACTTTTCTGCTTTGCTGACTCAAAATGCCGTGGTGACAGAGCGATTGGAAGGAAAATCGTTGAGTCGGAGATGGACCTGACCAAGGCCAAGAGCGAGGGGTACCTGTGGGGGAACAGGACTGCAACTCTGGACTCCGACAAGAAGCAGCAGCTTCTTGCCGTCATTGGAGTTTACACTGGGTTTGGCTCCCGTCTCAAGAGGAACGTCTTCCGTGGCTCCTGGATGCCAAGAGGTTTGCTGCTTTTGTTCTTTAAATTTTGCTAGGCCCTAGTGTTAGAAATAATTTCCCTTGACAACACTGAGTAGTGGAAGAGACTGCTTGTGATACAAAACTTTACTAATTTGAGAGTGGTTGATGAAGAGACGGCAAAATTATTTGATTTAAAATGCTGGATAAATATGGAGTAGCTAAATTGTTTTGTGTAAATAAGGATGTTCTCCAACTCATAAGTATAACTCTATTCTTCTATTTCACTGTAAATTGCAGGTGATGCTCTGAAGAAGCTTGAGGAAAAGGGTGTAGTTATTCGTTTTGTTATTGGTCGGAGGTTTTGTTCTGGATCTATACCTTTGAGTTATTGCATCGTTCTTAGTTCAGAATCTAACAATATCATTGTCATTCTCGTTTTCTCTTTTATTAGAAAAATATAATCCAGTCTCCATCTCTCGTTTTATTGATGATGTGTGTACCTTTTTGGACCTGCAGTGCAAATCGAGGTGATAGCTTGGACCGTAATATTGACGATGAAAATCGTCAGACAAATGACTTCTTGATTCTTGTAAGGTCCTATTAGTATCTCATATTCTCAATTGTCCTTCACAAGTTGTAGTACGCAAGCAAGACTTTAGAGTTTAGACCTTTCTTGCTTCCATCAAAGACTAGGTTGAACCCATGTGATCTTATACATTTCATCGATGAACTTTGAAATTGTAAGCATTTTGGATTGGGCAGGAAAGTCACGAAGAGGCTGCAGAAGAATTACCGAGCAAAGCAAAGTTTTTCTTCAGTGCCGCAGTTGAAACCTGGGATGCAGAATTCTATGTCAAAGTTGAGGATAACATGAATCTTGACTTAGGTATCTTTTTTTATGTTCTCTGTGTATGCTGATTTACAGTACTTCTATTGATCTTGCCCCTTCCTTTTAAACTAACCTCTTGCAATTATTCTGTCAGCTGGGTTAA